CAGGCCGCTTGGGAGAGCTCGTGTTGGGACAGCCCTCATGGCCACGGAGACTCGCAGCTGGAGCATCAGCAAAAACAGTGACCGTCTCAACAACGAGGCTGCTTGGGCCAAGCTCCACCTGTGGGCCCAGCAGCCCAGCCTGTCCTTTGTCTCCTCCGTTTCCGGGCCCTGTTGAGGTGCAGATCTGGGAGGGTGTCTCTCTTCTAATAGAGAGCAGCAGGTTTGTCAAGTAGAGAAATCTGATCAGGCCGACCGATGTGTGTTTCAGAATGCAGGGGCCATGTCTCCGCGCCGTCCACTTCCCAGGTGGCACGGCCCAGCACACGGGGGCCACTGCTGGAAGCCACGAAACCCGCCAGCAGTTTTCATCTCTTTTTCGTAATTAAGTCTGTAGGCATTCTCTTTAGTTGTGAGGAAGCCTTCCTCTGGGCCCTTCGAAACGGTAAGTGTGGGGAGGGGGTGAAGGCACATAGCAGGTGTTTTTCTGTTCTGTGACTGAGCGCCGCGTCCCTTTCAGTGGGGCCCTTGCGGGATCCGGGGCTGCCTTGATGAGGGGGCGGGGGGAGAAGAAGGGAGGAAGACGTTTAAAGAGCGTGACCTTTTCCTGCCTGGAGTCCTGAGGCAGGGAGCCAGAGAGCCCTGAGAAGGGAGGCCCCCTGCATCGACCACTATGGACCAGCCGCACGCGGGGTTCGGTGGCCCGGGAGTCCCTTCTCGTGTCGGAATTCGGATTCCACGGCCCAGCATTCCTCAGCAGAGCTTTCTGAGAGGGCGGCCTTGCAGGACACCTACCTGCTCTGGGCCCCAGAGGGGCTGATTCCTCCTGTGACTCACACACTCCAAAATCCTCTCCCCCCCATTCCCTGCCCCAGTTACAACGATAGGTAGGCTGTTGGTTTGGCTTTGCTTTTTTTTTTTTAACCCCCTCTTTTACACCAAGGAAATACTTTTAAACTTTTTTCTGTTTAGAAAATTATGCAGAAAATTAACATTGATGGATTCTGGGTGGTGGCGGCTCAGAACAAGAAACTCGTCTCGTTTCCTTGTCATCCCTCTGCCTGCTGGCTTGGGGCCCGGCTCCTTCTGTAGGCTGATAGGAGAGCGGTTAGATGCTGCCTCAGAGATGACCCGCACCACCCGTGGCCAGTGTTGGATGCGTTTGCTGTGTGAATGAATGCGAGTCACCTCCTGCTCCCCTAGGGGAGTCTGAAGCCTCATTTCAAGCCGCTGGCTGTGATGTGTCCCATTGGACCCCTCCAGCCGGCCTCGAGGGCATTGGGCCCCACAGTGGGCACAGAGAAAGGAGACATGAGACCTTTACACTTCATAAAATACCCATTAGAACTATTAATACATTTACTTATTAAATTCTTTTATCCTCATCCTTTTATTTGCCTGTTTTGTACAGTTACATATTAGTGTACACATGCCGTTTACAATAACCACGTTCATACTCAGTTTTATACTGGGATGTAGGATCAGATTGTTGGGAGGCCACTGCTGGGGGACCGGCCTTGCTCCATCCTGCTTTCCCCGCAGTGGGCGGGAACATTCTAGCAAAGGTCTGGAAACTACCAGGACTTCATGTATTCTGAAGTTAGTCTTGAAACTCGCAGATGAAGCAGACAGGGCAAATGGTCCAGGTTGGGGTTTACTGTTCTCCTTGGTAAGATATGAAGAAACGAATAAAGCGAAGCAGAGAGAGGACTGGCCCAGATGTTTTTGTAACTGCAGACGTAACTTCAGTTTCGGCTGAGCTCTTCCTAGAGCTCCACGATGTTTGAAAGCCGACGAAGAGCGGTTGTCGGCAGATGTTGTCTGCAGGCCCCCCCGGGCCAGTTTTGCAGATGTGAGCACCACGCGGCTGCCGTTGTGTTTGGAGAACAGCGCGGCCTGTCTCCACCTGCAGTGGGCTCTCTGGCCGCGGAGTGAAAGGCAGCGGCTGAGGGGCAGGCCTGGCCTCACACCTGCTCCCGGCTCTGTGTGATGACAGGCTGGCGGGGGGGGGTACGGTTAAGAGTGTGTGGAGCCCCTCCACACACTCTTCTGCTTGAAGGAAGTGAGTCCCCCCAAGAGCAAGGGAACAGTGGGTGAAAAAAGGAAACTGCTCTTGTGACCTTTTACTCGTTTATATACCAGATACTCCTTTAATGCTTCCCAGCCAGGCATTGTTCTCAGTATATTGCTTTAAAAATAGGAACTCAGTTATTCTTCACCACGATCTTAAGCGCTGGTTAGTAGTATTGGCCCATTTCACAGATGAGGAGTCTAAAGACCAGAGAGGTGGCATCATTTGCCTGGGGGTCACACAGCTGGTCAGTGGCAGAGTAGGGCCACACTGCACCTGTCTTGATACGAAGTCCCACTTGTATTTCTTCTAGTGGAGATTCTCATATCTTTCAGAATTATGTTAGTTTTTGTTTCGTTTCACAAGAGGCCTTTCTAAAAAATATATGTAATATGTACATGTAATGTTATTATAAAAATGGTGTTACGCTGTTTTCCATTTTTTGAGCACTTACTGTGGGCAGGTCCTCCTGTGCCAGATGTTCTCTAGACGTGAATTCTAATCCTTAAGCTGCAAGGAAGAGATTTGTGCCCATTTCATAGAAGGGAAAGTGGATGACAGGAGCTGGTCACTCAGCAGACATGCCCAGCCAAGATAGGAACCCAGGTCTGCACACAGCTCTTTGTTATAAGACAATTAAGTATAAACAGGTCCTTCTTGATCCCCCACCCAGGGAGATGGTTAGTTTCACAAACACCCAGAGGACCCTGTAGCATAGCAGTGCCTGGAGGGGGGTGGCCCAGTTAGCCAGGGGAAGTGCCATGTTCTGCCCGGCGTCCCCACGCTGGTGATCACTCCCACAGGCGGCCCCCTACCTGCCCCACTGGGGGCTGGATGCCGCATGGTTTCCAGGTGACTGTGTCCACAGCATCAAGCCCTCAGGGTCTGGCTCCTTTTGATCCAGTGGAGTTTTGAAGTTCTATCTTCTGGGCTTCATTAAGCCCTCCCGTGGTCTGAGGCTCCCCCGCCCCCCAGGTGTAAATGTTGCGTGGTTCCTGGTATTCAGGTTCACAAATTAGCCCAATTAGATGGGTAAATTAGTCATTCTACTTTCTGAAGTCCGGCTGGAGGAGCTTTGTGAAATAGCATTTATAGTTTTCTAACAAGCAATTTAAAGGACACCAGCATGTGGCATTTGTTTAAGAGTAAAATGTCCTAAACAATGCCCTACTTAAAAACAGATCGCGAAATTTGCTCACAGACTTAGAAACGTGGCCGAGCACACCCCTGCACCGTCTCATACAAGCCTTTCCAAACGGGGTCTCTTCTTTCGGGAGGCTACAGCCGAACACGACAGAGTTACTGAAACCCACATTTAATTTCCAAAACCTCCTTTTGCCAAATTGTTTTTTTCTGCACCACCCAAGAGTTTCTAAACAGGCTTCAAAACAGACTGCTCTGAATTCCATCTGAGTGGTAGACGGTGAAGAATTAGCAACTCAAAGGAGGCTGCAAGGGCCAGCCTCGGGTTGCTGCTGACATTGACAGCTGGGAAGCAAGACGGGGAAAGCAGTGTCCCCAAAGAGCCAATAGAAAATGCCTAAGCTCTTGAACCTCTCTGGACTCAGTTTCCTTGTGTTCAGGGAAGTGACAGTCCCCCCCCCCACCCCACCTCACAGGGCCACTGGCCAATTCAGTGAGACAATGCATCGAATGTGCCCGAAACCCAAGAGGCAGTCAGTCAACTTGAGGTCCCTTCCTTCCTTCTTGGGTCCTTTTAAGTGTTCGCTTCAGAGGCCGGCGTCCTTGTGCCTGGCTCAGTTGGCTCTTCAAACAATCTTATTAATGCCTATTAAAATGAAACCCAATAAAAATGCCAATATTTGGTGTTGAAATAATTGATGTAGCAGAGACAGACCACGGAGCACCCAGGCAGGCCCCTGGTGCCGTTTAGCCTCACACCTGGGGGATGAATTTCACAACTGTAATTGCTACCATATAATTCTTATTAATGTTGTGCTATAATTCCTATTTATTCCACGGGGCTTGTAAATGCATTAAGACTTGTCAACATATTATTTTACACTGTTTATGATCTGTAGAATTATGTCCTTCAGGGTTGCATTGTGCAAAAGCTCAAAATGCTTTGGGCCTCATTAAAAAAGAGCAAAAAGCGGCTGCTTGTTGAAGTGCTTCTCCATCCCCACCGTCCTGAACAGAAGTCCGTGAAGTAGATTTTTAACTCCATTCTGAGCAGAGCTCTTAACCTTGGGAATACAAGTGAATTCCCTCCTCTCATCTGAGCTGGGATGGGACAGCCCACCCTCCCGGGGAATGCTGTATGTGGCCAGAGAGACAGGTGTCCTTCCCTGGGGACAGATGTGGTCAGGAATTGTTTGGGCTCCCGTGGTCTTCCATGGGCTGGGACCTTGTATTCTGACCTTGAGTTTGGCTCAGAGCTTCAGGCGTTTCTGTCCCCCTGCTCCCTAGCTTGGGGTCACCCCCTTTTAGTTCCAAATTTCCTCATGGTCGTCTTGGCTCAAGCTCTAAAGAAGAAGATTTGAAATTAATTTCCACCGAAGTGTAGATACCTAATAAGTGTAAAATGTAATCCCATCCCACAGACTTCTGCATTTACTACGCCGGTAAGCGTGAAACATGGAATGTCAGCCACAGCATGTGTGTGTGTGTTGGGGCAGGGGTGTCTGTCGTCCTCGGTGTGGGCCTCACAGCCTCCCCAGCACCTCTGCATCACAGACGGGCCTGCCACAGAGTCAGGTTCAAGCTCTTGCTCAGCTAATTCCCGGCCATGAATGGTTGGGAAACCCTTAATCTGCACGTCTCCGCCCTCACTGGAGTGCTCTCTCCCGGGGCAGGAGGCCCATCTGGTCACTGCCACGCCTCCTATCCTGGGGCTGGCGGGGGAGCAGACTGGAGGGAAGCACAGGCCAGGACGGCTGCTGACTGTCCTTGCCCTTCTCTGGCCCTGCAGGCAGCGAGTACGACGAGGAGGAGGTGGATTACGAGGAGTCGGACAGCGATGAGTCCTGGACCACGGAGAGCGCCATAAGCTCTGAAGCCATCCTCAGCTCCATGTGCATGAACGGAGGGGAGGAGAAGCCTTTTGCCTGCCCGGTTCCTGGATGTAAAAAGAGATACAAGGTAAAAGCAGGACCACCTCCCTTGGCATAACCGCATTAACTGCATGGGAACCGGCAGGCCCCCATCGGGGAGCAGCTCCTCACTTCTGGAGAGAGCCTCCCTCCCCTGGGCCGACCGGTGCCTGGTCCTCACGGAGACGTGGGCCTAGGGACAGGCAGGCCCCTGGGTTCTGGGTGTTTGGTGGGGTTGTCCCTTTTGCTGATCCAGGTGGAAGCTATAGGTCAAAAGAAGGGTTTGTTTGGTAGGAGGATCGTGTTTTTGACATTCTTCAAACTCCTGTCCTATCAGAATACCAAGCGTGTCGCCTGTTTATTTGCCACACACCTTCCCCAGCAGTCGGCTTATGCAGGTGGCTCACGGAGGACGACCTTCAAGTCTTAAAGGTGGTAGACGGAGGGTTTTTAGCTTTCAGCCCAGGAAGTTCTTGCTCCCTTCCCCGCGACCCCACCACCGGCATGAAAGATCAGGAGAAAAGGGGGCTTTGATATTTTTCTCACCAAACCGCCCACTTCAGCGCTCTGTCGGTGACAGAGGACACAGAACCCGTGTCTCTGAGAGCCTGACTGGGTGTCACGCGCGGCCAGGGACATTAAATTTTCTATTAAGAAAACTCAAAGGAAAAAACACAACATTCAAGGGTTGGTCCACAGGACACCTTAAAAAAGCAAATTTGCACACTTTCTCCTGAGGCGTTTGCAGCTGTTTAAAATCTAGCTGGGAGATGGAAATCTAAAAATCAGGAACCTATGTGTGGTACATTTGACGATATGCTAATCTACCCAGAGCTCAGCAGACTGACTTTTTTAAAAAGGCTTAAAAGATGTACGATAGCATAAGCACTTCTCATACGGCTCTGAAACGTGTCCCTGAACACCAAACCAAACAAAACAACCCCTATTTCAGTATTTTTTGTACCGGCTGCTGATCTAAAAGTGGCCGAGGCTTTGCCTGTAGAAAATAGGCGACAATGTTCTCATGGAAAGGCCGGATATGCTCTGTTTAAAACGAAGATGCCTGGGCGGGGGCGGGAGGATCCCCTCGGGGCTCGGGAGCCGCTCAGGGCAGGACGGGACTCAGACTGGTGCACGTCGGTTTTCTGTGTCAGACTTGTGGAAGGCGTGGAAGGCGGAGAGGGGGAAAGGCCACCAGGTGGTTACCTCAAGAGGCCAGAAAGCAAAGGGATTGCCAGACAGGCTCATTTTTCCGGAAGGTAGCCCCGGCACTGCAGAGTGTTTTCCTTCTTTTGTTTGTTTGTTTGTTTGTTTCAAAGTGGAGAAAGCTAGACCGAGAGGGTTCTGTTCTCGATTCCTACCTGCTCTCCAGATGCCACGTCTCTCCCCGCGGCTTTCACAGAGCCGTTCCTCGGGGCTGGGCCGCTGGCTGCCTTCTCTCAAGCATCCAGACGCTGTTTAAGGGATGTCATGCACATCCACTGTGTTCAGAGAGGGAGCAGATATGAGCCAGACTGAGGCTGGCCCAAAAAAGGGGGGTTGAGGTGGGGGGGAAGCCACAGCCTTTATTCTGGCTGAAGAGCAAAAGGCACTCCCGCCTTCCCACCAGCTTCATTCCTTCCTCACAACCTTCCCCCCCGCCCCCGTCACTTGTTTGCTTGTCATTAGTCTTTTGCCATTCTTTTTCCTGGGTTTCCAGCAATTTCTCCTGCAGTTGTCTACATCTGGGTTGATGGGGACTTGAGTGCTCTTTCTGCCCCGAAGGCCAAAAGAAAATTGAGTGAGGCCTGGGCTACGGAGGCTGCCTGCTTCAGCACCACCAACTGACAAATGACATGGGCGGCAAGTAGTGGTCCCGATTTCCATGAGGGACGTGTGAGTTTCCTTTTCTGGGCCAGAATGCCCGGTCATGATACATGGGACAAGGACAAACATGTAACCACTCCTCCTAACCGTCTGCTTGAGGAGCGTGGTCATGTTCCCTAGTGTGACCTTTCTGCTGGGAAGTTACTGGGCACAGGGCAGTGGTGTTCTCTCGTGTAGTTACTGCATCTTATTGACTGCAGGATTGCTGGACTGGGTATTGGTTTGAGGAGGGTCTAATGAGCTGGTGTGCTGTGGGGTCAGGCGGAATCCAGAAGTGCCGCCATGTTGTTTATTCCCAGGGCTCCCTTCAGACTTGTCTCATTCCTTGCCCGCTGTTGGCAGAGAGTCTCTAACCACTTAGCCTCTTGGGCACGGACTCCAGATCAGCTCTTCTCACCATTTCTTGGCATTTGCAGAAGCAAAAGATGAGGTATCTAACTTTCCAGACTTCCTACTGAGCAGGGCAGGAGAGGGGCCCAGCAGGACAGCTGAGTCTCCATGTTGTTTCCCATATTAATCCCGTTGCCTAGGATGCCCCCTTCCCCTCTTCCATCAGTACATCTCATTTGAATTCCCCTCATTTCTCAAGGCACAGCTCAAATGCCACCTCCTCTGGAAAGCCCTCACCAGTTTCCCAGACTGAGTCCCCACTCATAGAATGAAGTTCTATATCCCCTGACCTTTCTACATGCTCCGTTCATATCACTAGAGAGCACTTACTGCCTTATCACCCCAAGGGTCCGTTTAGCTCATAGACCCCTCCTCAGCACCAAGCACAGGTCTTGGGCAAGTAGATACTCTGAAGATAAATGGAACAGAGGCAAAATGCGTGGGGAAGAGGACAGTGTGGGCCCCCCCCAGCTGACCACCAGAACCCCAAAGCAATTGGATGATTCATTCTGTTGGGTTTGTCTCAGACACATTCCAGGGTGAACATCTGATCCCATCCACCTTGGTGCTAGGCACTTTTTTTTTTCAGACTTCAGACGAGAGAGAGAGGACTCCCCAGCTTATAATTGGGAATGGCTTCAAAAGATGGGTTGAAGTGCTTCCTTTGATAGTTTTTAATATTAGAGTTATTAGAATTAAAGGCATTTTGCTACTTTTAAGAACTAGAAAGCAGAACAAGCTGTCCCCTGGGAAGTTTCTCTGAGAGGGTCCCTGCGCTACCTGGGGAACGCTATGGTTTCAGCACCATGAAGGAAGCTTGGCCTCTGATGTCTAGATACACAGCCAGGCAGGTGTGTTGCTGAAGGTTTTCTGAGAAGGGCACTTCAGCCATTCTCCCCGCTCAGTGGATCGAAACCTCCTTGCCTCTCCTAAGGGTCCCATCAGAAGCCCTGCTGGGGGCATAACTGACCACCTTTCTGGGTTGCAACTTGGCAGTAAATAATCAGAACTTTTAAAAAGTATCTGTATTCCTTAGCTCCATAATTGTCTAAGAAATGTATCCCAGGCACATCACCAGGGATGCAAAACTTGATACACAAGGTATTCATCACATTACTTACAGTCAGCACAAATTTGGGAAATACTAAATTTCTAACAATAGGGAAATGTAATAAAATCCTGCCAACAAAATCCTTTCAAAAAAATATGTAATGATGAATCCAATCTCGTTTTCTCTCAGGGGAAAATACTGAAAGATGTTAGTGATTATACCTGTTCTTTATGTCCCTTTGTATTTTCTAAATTTCGGCAGTTGCCTACCCTGGACACAGATTGCTTTAATAGAGCGAGTTAAAAAAAATGGGATTCCCGCCTGACTCACCCCGCATGTTGAGTCCGGTCCGGAGCAACTCGCTTTCTCAGCTCGTGGGCTGCTTGATGTCACCACGCTGCTGCAAGAGGCTTTACTTGCCATGCTGACATTACCACCCCCACCCACCCCAGCTTCGGTCTCTTCTTTTTTCTTCCTCATCAAAGCCCTGTGACTCCATCCTCTCCTTTATGTAGAACATCTCCTTATGTAGAACGCCCAGCTTGGCGCCCAGACTTTGTTTCATGATTTGATCTGGAGTGGCATTTTGAGAGGTTTGTTGTCCATTGACTGGTTCAGCTCCCTCATTAGGGCAGGTAGTTCCTGATGATAGAACCTGGCGTGGAAAAGAACTGATGCCATCCTTGGCCTGGCCCCCCACGTCAGGCCCTCCCTTGGACCTCCTGCCCAGCCCTTTCCTCCACATGGTAGCCCCGTGTCAGACCACTGTAATTCATAGACCATTTTCTCCAGATGGAGTGACCTGTCCCAATCCTTCCCAACTTTTAAGATTTTTCAAAGACCACCAACTGGTTGTACTAATTATTGAGTACCTAGCACTTCAGGTACATGGAATTCTGGGGGAAATGTGGGTTCTGGAATCAGGCATGCCTAGGTTCCTATCCCAGGTCTCAGGTCTATCATTCCCCTGCTCACTCACCTTCTCGGAGTGTCTGTTTCTCTAAAACATGAGTACTGGTTAAGAAACGAGACATCAAATACTCAGCATGAGCAGCTCCTGTTACTGCCCTTCCTTCCCCCCCCTTCCTTTTTCTCCCTTGCCCTTTCGAAGTTAGTTCCCTTCCTCTTTTCAGAAACCAGAGAATTGAAGCATTTGGTTTTCAAGTTGCGTGCCATTATTTACTTTTGTTCGTATTTCTGAAAGACCAAACTTCTTTCAGGATCTCTGTAATTATAAATGTCAGTGAATCTTTTTAAATCCCAAGTGTTAGAAAGTTCCCATTGCTATATGTGAATGAACAGATGGGGCAGACGGTGAATCGCATTGGAGCTTGTACTAACATTTGTGATAAGGCTGTCCCACTGACACTCGTGAACACTGTAAATCACAGCAACAGAGTTAACGTGGGTTTTTTAGGTTCTTTAGCCAACCCTGGAAATGCCACGTGTTTCCACATGTGCAATTGGCTTACTGATTTTTCCAGAGTAATAAAGCAAATGTATGGAGTTAGCTGTGTTTTCCTCACAGTCTCATGGCCAGACACACAATACGGTGTTTACAGTCAAGCTGGGAACAGACCACAGAACCTGCTGAAATCACCTCAACCTTGGGCTTGTCCTTCTGGCAAACACTGGATCTGGTCATGTTGGATTGGCTTCTTGTGGCTTTAGCAATTTCTGGTTTCAAACTTCCCTTCACCTAACTAATTATAAAAAATCAGGCCTGGATGGAGTATTTAAGCTTGTTGGTCAAATGTTTTTATTTTGGGTTCCCCCTATTTTCTGACGAATGTCTGTGGTACTGGGACACAGGGGTAGCTGGATACTTATTGACCCATCGTGCAACAAGTTCCCTGTGAAATCAAGGACATGAAATGTTTGAGTCACCTTTCATCTACAGAAAAGGACCCTACTAGGTGCTCAGTGAATATCTGTTGAGCTAATAAATGGGCTATTAGCAAGCAGACAAATGCAAATTTCTAGTTTTTGTGATCCAAGAGACTTCCTACTATATTGTTACTTAGAAAGCTGATGGTGCTTTTCTAAAACTGTTATTATCTGTCATGGTTCTGTGGGTTGCCGGGCACCAGCTAGGTGGTTCTTGCGTGGGTGTCTCATGCAGTTGCAGTAAGAGGTCAGCTCAGGCTCGACACAGAAGTTGGCTTTTACTCAAATCCCTCAGCTTCCGTTGGGATGGCTGGAACAGCAGGAGGCTGGCAGGGGTTATCTACCCATCATCTTAATGGGTCTGATTCTGCCACTGTCCCTGCTCTCCCGATAGCCCACCACAGCACATTATCCCCAGAATGCCTCTAGAACAACAGTGAGGGGTTTCCTTGCCCTGCAGGGAGAGACTGATGAATGGACAGAAACAAAGGTGAAGAAGGCCGAGAGCCAAGTTCAGGGCAGAGGGTATTTGTCCTTGTGCTTTGACTTGGTGGACAACCGTCAGTCCGACTCGGAACACAGCCAACTGGAGTTGCCATTTGGCACCCGTGGGTTCAACTAAGTCAAGTGGGATTCTCTACCAAAGGACTTTTAAAAAGTATTAATGTGCATTATGAATCTCTAAAAGGGAAATGTAAATAGTAATAACCACTTAACACATTTTAATGGCAATTCCCAACTTACTCCAGAACAGTGAACCATGTTCTAACAAATTCACTCACAAATGCTTGTTGAGCATCTACTGTGGGCCAGGCAGTGTGCTAGATCTAGCTCATGAAACAATAGCTGTCCATCCCTATATGTGGGAGCTCAGTAAGGGCATCTTACGAATAAAGTTCAAGACCACTGTGTTGGAATCCTTCAGGTGGGCTTAGGACTAGGCTCATTGGGACTAAATTCATAGAATACTTTAGGAAACAGCCTACTCTTCCCGGTAATCAGTTCTCAACAACTTTGTCTCAAGCCCTTTCTTTTCTCTTCCCTTACTCCCAAATCTGGCAATAGCTGACTTGAGAATTGAGACCCATCCCTAACACCACCTCTGCCATTTATTCTTTAATCTTCCATCAGTTACTCAATACCTATTTTCTCAGCATTTAATTGGGATGAACAATAGTAAAGTAAGTCTGTAGGAGTGATTCTAGGCATGGAGTCTTACAGCAAAACCAGTTAGTAGAAAACCAGACGGCATTTTGATATTTTGTTTCACTTGGGATTTGTACACCACTTTGAAGTTTGGAACTCTTATGTTGCTGAGACTTCCATAACCTAAGTTTTTAAAGTTTATTTGTATGTTTGAAATGCAGTACATAAACGTAAGGCCCAGTCTACCCATAGGTGCTTATTTAACACAACTATGCTAGGGCATGATTTGGGCACGTAAGATAGGTTTTTCTCACAGCTGTCTGGAAGCGAAACATGAGCTATGTTTCTATATCAAGGATTTATAGATGTCTTCAATTCTATTGCCTGTGTTTTTTCTTTAAAAAGACGGTTTTTTGGCCACCCTAAGGATATGTTATATAATTGTTTGTTGTTAACACTCTTCCAAGTAGAAAAATCCACAGGGGAAGCAAAGTTCTAGGCAGAGGAAAGTGCTTCCTTATACAGTCTTAAATATATATTCTGTGTAGAATTTGAGGAAGCCAGTACTTTCATTTTCAGAGTAAGGGCATAGTTTGCGACCCAGTCTGCACAGCCCACAATTACATTAGACTGCTTGAAATGGAGTTCTTGCAAAGCCTACTAGGTACACTCCTGCCATCCAGGAGATGTCCAGTTGTAATCCAGACCCACACCAAGGTTTTCCCCCGTCTGACACTTTGATTGCATCTAATAGGTGATCTTTTTGTCTTCTCCACAGAATGTGAATGGCATAAAGTACCACGCTAAGAATGGTCACAGAACACAGATTCGTGTCCGCAAACCATTCAAATGTCGTTGTGGTAAGAGTTACAAGACAGCTCAGGGCCTGCGGCACCATACAATCAATTTCCATCCCCCGGTGTCGGCTGAGATTATCAGGAAGATGCAGCAATAACATGCTGGTCATAACTGTGCCAAGAAATCCTCACCAGCAGTTGCTGATTTTGAAAACAGCCACCTTTTTTCAGGGGAAGCATTCAGCAACCCTTTAAAGAATTAAATGCATGCTTTAAATTTTTTCTGTAATTTTGGAATGATGTATCTTTGTAGTTGATTTTGTACATTTGCACATGTAATCATCATACCCATTTTCATTACTTTGATATAAGGTGCTAAAAAAAAGCTCTAGGTTCTTCAGCACATTTCCCCCAAAATAAAATTGAGGGCATGTTGCATATTATTTAGTTGTATTGCAGTGATATCAATGGGGGGGAGGGGCTGGCACTGAGATTTTTTTTTCCCCAAGATTGTAATGTGATTGAAGTTTTTCAACACATCAACTCACTATGTTCAAAACCAAAATAATACCTTCATTATCAAACTGGTTACCATGCCTTACATAATATAGTTAGTTGTGAGTAGAAAGACTTTAGGTAATGGAAATATAAATAAGAATGTTTAACATAATATGCTAAAAATATTTTCATATTTAAATAACATACATAAAAGGTGTGCTTTCTGTGTTTTATATTATCTTGCAAATCCTTTTGCCCCTTAAGCTGAAAATCTTGCCATCTGACTTACCAATCATTTTAGTGTTATAAATGGCATTTTTGTACAGAATAGTCTCTTCAGTTCACTCATTAACACACATTCATTGAGTGCCTGCTGGGTGCAAGGGATTCGGTTTATGCCTGTTGATATTTCTGGACCAAGATACCAGTTTAGTGAAATAATACTTTTCCCTAAAATCTGTTAGAAAACACTTTGAAATACTTAAGTGCAAATTTTGTGTGTGTGAAATTTAGTTCTAGCTTCATCTTTAGGTGAAGTTTTAAAGCACTTTGTAGTTCTCTATTGCCAACAGATTTAATGTTTTATGTGTTGCCAATTCTTGCAACCACTGCCCTAACAAAATTGTGGGTTGCAAATAATGAAAATTCCAAGCACGTTTCAAAGAGAACATTTTTCTTAAGACCCCTTACTGCCTCTTCTTCATGCTCATTGTGTTTTTAGACTTTTTTTTAAAGGCACTTTTTCCATCACATTGTAGAGGTCTGTATTCCCACTGGAAATATCTGTTTAGCTTTATAAAACATTTTGCTGAAATACGAAATTGAGCCTTATTGACAATTAAGTGCTTCTTGCAGCAGGTGGTCAAAGAGAGTGACCTACGTCTGGACCATTCCTGAAGTTTTTCTCACCAACAATACCATCATGCCTTGAGTGTTCTTTTCTCCCAAGTGCTATTCCTTAAACATGCAAGAGTTTACCAACTGCCTCATTATGCAATAAAAATTGCTCTGAGATGATGGCTAACTGCCCACAAAACTGGTGAAAAGCAAGCTCAAACTGCTTATAACTTTCTTCCCATGTTCCCATTTCATGAAAGTCTTACAGCTGGGAAGCAGGTGTCCCTCAATTTTTCAGACAGTTCGAAAGGATGACAGTTCTGCTGACCAGATGGGTAAGCTTCTATATTCTTAAGTTGTGAATCCCTCATAATGAGGGATTCACAAGGATTTATAAAGACACTGCCCTCTAAAAATTTCCTCAGATCTATGAAGAGTGGTCTTGGTCCTGAATATACAGTGTTACATGTTTAAAAGGGTGATCAGACATGAGAAGCAACTAGTTGGTGCATAAGAAGGCCCTACTTGGATATTTCATATCTACCTACAATTGACCAAAATTTTTTAGGCCAGCAGTTATTATTTAGCTTCGCTCCTTCTAGCGCAAGAAACTGTAGGCTGGATCAGTAGTTCAACAGCTAAAGTCATAAAATAGTCATTGTGCATGTTAAATTTCTTTCAACTATAAAACAAATTCAATTTCTATTTGCTTATTCATTGTGACAGTATTACTAAACAGGTAAGGATGGGAATATTTTGTTATACCGTGTATAGTGAATGTATTGTACTGTGTCTGTGAAAACTGTGCTTTAAATTATATTTTCGTATGTTTTGTTGGGGACAGAGCACATTAAGTTTGAAAGCAACAGAGGTTTGTTTTAGAAGTGAAGGCAACTTAATCAAAATTGCTGTCAAGAAAAGCTGCTTATAAATGTAAATGAAATCACATTTAAAATAAACTGCCTCTGACCCAAAATAAACATGGCTCTTTATTAGTGTCCGTTACCACTCTAGTATTGGAAGGATACTTTTAAGATTGGCATGCTCCATAATTAAATGATGCAACACGAAAATGCTACCACTGACCATATTTTACCTGCATCTCCAAGGGAGGGAAGACGTGGAGTCTTCAGTACTACTGCCTTCCAGCCTGCCATGTCTTGTTTTGCTCTACACTCAAAATTATTTTTAAAGGATTCCAGCAATACAAATTCTGCTTTCAGAAACAAACACAAGCGACATGATGTGTATGCAGTTCACACACACAGCACACCGAAATGCCACCACACTGAATATCAGGTTAAAATATCCTAGCTAATTTGCTTTTAAGACAAATATTGTGATAACTACAAAAGAAGCAAAATCGACGTCAGTAAATTCTTATTAACATTCATATTTTGAGATACCGTTCAGAAATTTGTTTAAAGGCCCAGACCAAGGGAAAAAAAGTTTAGACTTAATGAAAAGCTATCGCAAATAAATTCGACAATGAAATTACACATCTCCAAAAATGTGTCCTCTTTAATAAGAATACAAGACATAATGAACACATTGATTTGCGTTTATAACATCACATTTTTAATCAAGAAAATGTGAAAAAGATATGGATACATTTTCTGTGATTTTATGCCACAAACACCACTGTTCAGTAGATCATTTAATATCAAACAACTGCACTAACCTATCTTGTTCCATTCTCCCATTAGATAGAAACACAACGTCAAGACGGCTTAAAAATAATCGTTCAGGTCATTCTAAAATGTTTTAGTCATAAAATTAGCAAAATATGCCTTCTATCCCTAAAGCAAACATTTCAAATATAAAATGTATTTGCTCTACCGCAAGCATGTGAACTCATTCTACATGCAGTTCCATTTTCTAAAGGTTGAAAAACCATCCTTTCATGAGCTAAATTATGGAAGTTTCTGTATTCAAAGAATTACTTTGCAAGACTATAATGATAAATTACTTTTATTACATAATATTTAGTAGTCATGCTCAATCAACAAGGTCAACAGAAACTTGTAAATATGCTAAATGACACACTACATATATTTTCATTGTGGTAACATTAATCCATTGCCTTTATTCATATAGTTTTGCAAACTGGGGAATAAATAAAGATACAAACATAAGAACTTTTCTTAAGCTGGTAAGATTAACAGGGGTTACAATTTTATTTACTGATAAGCTAAGCTAAAGACGGACTCTGACCCTGGTAACACAAACTCAAAAGTAGCGCTTGTTCAAAAAAGTGTGGTAGAGGGTGCACGGAAATGATACCTTGTGGTCTCCATAGTGGTCTATTTGAAGTGATTCTTTTTTTTTTTTTTTAATTGCTGAACTGTGTTACTAACTCAGAATAGAAAGTAACTAGTCAAAATTTAAAACATTCTGATCAAAATGGGTCTGCACATGCCTTTCAAAGCCCTGCTGGTCATAGTCAGGAGGGAATTGCTCACTGCACATTGGGCACACCTTCCAGTGACTTTCAACATGTTCTTCAAATTTGCTCTGATCATAGTTGGGAGGGAACATTAACTCACAGAGGGGACACTTCTTGTGAACATCAAAGCTTAAAGAAATAGGAAAATGAAAGAATTATGTATTTCTAATAGCAATAATCTTCAGGATATGACAATGTTATATTTATCTAGGCAAGCTAATATTCACCCTAAATGACTTACCTTGAAAGTTTTCAGTTACTTCAGAAATCTCTTTCTGCTTCTAAAATACTTGCTACTGACAACTGTGTAAACCACTGATAAAGCCTCTAAATTGAGTTTCACAATTTGACGAAAACATTTTTGTTAAAATCAAGCATATTATGTAAAATGAAGATTAACAAGAATTTCTCAATTTTTAATTAACAGAAAATGCCTTCTGTAAAACTATAAAGATTAATAGAACTTATAACTTCCCAACAGTATATTCATTCAAACCTTACGAGTATTTATTAGCACTGGTTCTCAAAGTATTACATGCATCAGAATCACTGGAAGGCATGTTAAAACACATATTGCTGGGATGCCTGGGTGGCCTTTAGCTCAGGTCATGATCTCAGGGTCCTGGGATAGAGCCCCCAAGGCCGAGCTCCCTGCTTAGCAGGGAGTCTGCTTCTCCCTCTCCCTCTGCCCCTCCCCCCTGCTCATGCTCTCTTAAAATTTTTAAAAAAAAACACACACGTATTGCTGGGACCCACACCAAGAGTTTCAGGTTCAGGAGATCTGGGTACAGCCTGATCATGTGCATTTCTAACAAGTTTCCAGGGACCATACTTTGAGAACCACTCATCTACATAACCCAAATTCTACACAGGAAAAAGAAAAATTACCTGGAATCAAAGCAAAAGCCTGCTCCATGCCCACGTAAGTGCTGACTTGGAGCGTCAGGAGCAGTGGGCACATTCTCCTCTTCCTAGGCAAAAAATAATTTTGCAACTTTTGAGCAAAGTGAAACTGAATGTAAATTCCTTAATTCAAGCATAGTATAAAGGAATTAAGATCACCCTTTCTAAAATCCTACTTCTGTTACATTTTCACATAAAGGTTTTTTTTTTTTTTTTTTAAAGGTTTTATTTATTTATTTGAGACAGAGAGAATGAGAGACACAGAGAGCACATGAGAGGGGGGAGGGTCAGAGGGAGAAGCAGGCTCCCTGCCGAGCAGGGAGCCTGATGCGGGACTCGATCCAGGGACTCCGGGATCATGACCTGAGCCGAAGGCAGTCGCCCAACCAACTGAGCCACCCAGGCGCCCTCACATAAAGGTTTAAAAGTTAGTTTTTACAGAGCATTTCACTATGAACTAAGTCTTACCTTCTTGAAATAAAAAGCAGTGCTTAGTGGAACAGAGAATACAGCACACCTGTATGTGTGAATGTGTGAATGACAAACCCTGTTGTGAATATCTAACAGACTGTCAAGTAAGATTCCTAAAAATCTATAAATCTGAAAGAAAACATTGGTTTGGATTTCCATGTCGACACATCCCTGTGGTCTTTGTTGTTGTTGTTAATAGACTCCACATCCAGTGTGGAGCCCAACATGGGGCTTGACTCACGACCTTGAAATCAAGACCTGGGCTAAGATCAAGAGCCAGGAATTTAACCCACTGAGCCACCCAGGCACCTACCCTGCTGTGGTTGCTTTTTAGAGATCTGTATGCTCTCTATCAACAACCAAGTACAGAGGCTCTCACTTCACATCAAAAGCAGTCACATCTCCCAAATGCCCATTTGCTCTCTTCCTGAGCAGCTCTGTTAGCCGCTCTCATGTTATGAACAGTCTGTAAATAGGTAGAGCAGGCACTGATGAACGTCCTTACACTGCTGGGTAGTTATGCTCGTTCCGGAGCTGCTATTAATGGGCTAAGTAGTCAAGTCTGTCATGGTAAGAGGTACGAAGAAAATGTATGTGGTGTGAAATTTGAAGGAAACAAAGACAAACTGACTTATCTTGTTGGGGGGGGTAGGCAGGGGAGGATACTTGGTTATTATTTTGATGATTATCCCTTCCTGAAAGGTCCAAGAAAGGGTAAGGGGCTCTTTTTTATTTTATATTGATCACATGAGAAAATATTTTTGCTTATATATGATTCCCTGCTAAATAACCTAGTATGTACGTATTTTTTCAGTGTGGTAACATTAAAATAATCCCGGTTTCCTTCATTCTTACAGTTTTGCAAACTGCGAAATAGATACAAAACAGAAAAAACTTTTAATCTTTAGTAAGATTAAAAGAGGTTACAATTGTTTTTATTGATAAGCTGAAGACTGACTCTGACCCTGGTAACACCAAACTCAAAGTAGCTCTTGGTCAGAAAAGTGTGGTAGAGGGGCGCCTGGGTAGCTCAGTTGTAAAGCATCTGCCTCCGGCTCAGGTCATGATCTCAGGGTCATGGGATCGAGACCCGTGTCTGGGCTCCCTCCCTGTTTCTCTCTCCCACTCGCCCTGCTTTTATTCCCTCTCAAGCTGTCTCTCTGTCAAATAAATAAAATCTTTAAAAAAGGAAAAAGAAAAAAAAAAGTGTGGTAGAAGGTACATGGAAGGGATACCTTGTGGTCTCCATCGTGGCCTATTTGAGGTGATTTTTTCTTTAACTGCTAAACTGTATTACTAACAATAAAAAGCAGTCAAAATTTAAAATATTCTGATCACAACGAGTCTGTACATGCCTTTCAAACCCATGGTGGTCACAAGTCGAGGGAACTGCTTGCTGCACAAAAACAAGATAAATAAAACCAGCCTAATGAAGGATTGAGAAATTGGGGAATAGAAGACTTTATATACTTTAAGAATTAAGTCTACAAGTAACTAAAATTCAGACAGGTTTTAAATCTGGAGGTACAAAGACGTAAGATGATATAGCTGAATCAGCTAAACCTAGTATGTATGACAATAAATTTTTGATTGTGTGTCACGGTAGTGCTAGCTGCCAGATTTGGGCCTTCCAGCAGCAATACTTGAAACAATGATTTGCTTAAAGAACTATATATAAAATAATGACAATGAATACAATTTCCCCATTTATCTTTGAAAAAAGAGGCGAACTTTAAAATTTTGAAATGCTATCGAAGAGAATAATGGAAAAGAAAGGGAAGGTCTTGATGTTTAACTATCAAAATTCTTGATGATGGATACTTGTAATAAAACGCCACTTTCCAAGGACCAAAAATACAGCCTACACCAATTTACTGCTTTCATGAATCAGCTAACAATAGAGTTTGCTGCTCAAGTGCTAGACTTAAACCAACCTATCTGACAGTTAACCATGGGGGGGGGGGGCGCGCAGGGGAAGCAATTTTTTTTTTTTACCTTTACACTTTCTAAGCCATATATAATTTGGTAATGATAACCCCATTAATTCGTACCTTCTACCACCTATTACCTAATAAAAGGGGAGAGGGACTCAACAGAATTCTAGATGTTACAATGAGACATAAGTGCTCATGAAATAAGAAATCACCTACTCAGTTCAAA